AATCTGTATGCATTCCAACTTTTTGATGAAATGCATTTAGTTTATGCACCACATATTATTCACATGTGAATACGTTTGCATACATAAATCAGTATATGAATTGGTATATTCACATGTGAATATACCATATAACATAATAATTACATATGGTTATATCATGTGATAAAGATGTATATTTGAATATACCATGAAATATTCACATGTAAATATACAATATAATTACCACATATGAATAGATAATGTGATATTGACATGATAATATACTTTCAGACTTGAATTAATATATGTTAATCATGAGTCTAGAAAAAATATGTTTGGTTATATGTTATTCATATGTGATGAACTTATAAAAATTACACCTAGGTGTAAATGTATTATGTAGTATTTACATATGAATATACAATATAATATATAAAAGCATATTTGCATTGTAATATACCATATAAACAAAATCTACAATGTAATATGCACAAGTTAAAACACCATATAAAACAAAATATAGTATATAATATTCACTTATCTATATAGATTGTGATTTAAATATATCATGTAATATTCACATATAAATATACAATATAAACATAATATACCATATAATATTTACATGGTATATTTTGTTTATTTGCATATTCACAAATGATTATATATTGACACGTGAATCAATATATGCTTACTAAAAATCCAAAGAAAATATGCAAGAAATTTGTATATACATATGAATAAATAATAGTATATTATTTATTTATATATGAATAAAAGTTACATTAATAAGAAATGATCATTAACAAGTTTTATATGTATTGACATATTAAACATGAGAAGAAGACACATTAATGGAAACATAATAAACAATGTTAAACGTGTACATAATTAGTTAGCCCAAAAAAAGAAAATACATTTGAAACAATATATTTCTTATATTCACATGTAAATGTTGTATAATTTAATATATCTATATCTTTTTATCATTTTAAATTTACATATAAATGGTCATACATATAAATCAAGGTTGTAAAAATCGTTCGACGGTCGACTGGTGTTAATGGATTAATCGGTCTTGGCGGTGATTAATCGGGGACCATAGATTATTAATAACATATTAAAATTAGTCAAAGATTAATATATTTTAAGAAAAATAAGTACTTCTAAATTAGAAAATAAGAGAATTTGTAATTTTAAATTTTAAAAAATATGAAAATATAAACATTTTGGTATAATATTTGAAATTTTGAAAATTTTAAAATTTTGGAGTAAATTTTTGTTTTTTAATTTTTGGAAACTTTTTTTACTTTTTTGACTTTTTTGACTTTTTTTGACCGGTTAATCCGCCAAACCCGATTAATCCCTAATTTCCGTCAAACACAATAATCCTAGTCGGTTAGAGAACGTCAAACGATTAATCCATGATTAATCCCGATTTCTGCAACCATGATATAAATGGTTATACATCTCATTAACCCGTACATGTATTCTATCTTAGTATAATTTTGAATTTAGATAGTTGTTATGTGGGAAAAAAAACTATATTCACAAATCAAGTCATTTATTATATTACTAGTTATAAGACCTATGTATTACATGAGTTTATTAAAAAAAATATGAAGACTTAAAATTTTAAAATTTTGAATTTATAATGAAAGAAAGAAAAATATTTAATTATTAAAATTAAAGTGCTCATTTCTCTTTTGAATTTAAACAAATAATTTAAATAAATAAACAACTAAAATTATTTGATTCAATTTAAAATTTTAGAAATTAGAAGGAAGTTGCATTAATTTTTTTATATGCATTTATTATTATATTTATTATATTTAAATATTATATGGAATTTAATAAAATAAGAAAATGCACACACACACACACACACAAAATGACATGTGAATATAATTTATTTTAAAATTACAACAAAATGACATGTCACATAATGTATTAGAATATGACAAGTGACAAAAATGATTTTTATTTATTATAGTATATTTATTTATATGTAAATAAATGTTGCATTCAAATGTGAATAATTTAGTAAGAAAAGTTTGTTTATTTGTTTGTTTGTTTTTTTTGGAACAGCAAGGATAAATAAAGACACTATCAAGATGCTAGAAAATAGTTACAAAGAGTTTGAGATCATATAAAGGATGAATAACCACCGATCCCACAACAGTTTATGTTTCATATATCTATTTCTAATCCAAAAGAAAGAAAAAGATTGTATATCATCAAAGATATCATCCTTGCGAGGCTTACTCGTTCCAAATAAAAGCTTGTTACGGAAATTCTAATGGAATAAAAAGTGACCATTACAACAACATCAAACATCTTCTTGGAGATCGCATCTAAAGTCGTATCATCTGCCCAATTAACCAAGCTTTTGACCGTCATAACCGTTGGCTTAGGAACTCCCCACGAGGTCGCTATTCTCCTCCACAACGGGCACAAATCCGAACAGTAAGAGAACAAATGTTCTGTCGATTCACCTATTTGAGTACAAATGGGACATAATAAAGAGTCTAAATCAATACCTTTATCATATAAATTTAGTCTAGTAAGGATCTTGTCTCTAAGGATACGCCATAGGAGAATATTTATCTTTCTAGGAACCATCGAGTTCCACCAAGATGGAACACCAGACGAACCCAAAAAGAAAGTATCCAACGACTTTCGAGTAGAGGCAACAAAAAACTCTCCATCCATGTCTAGTAAGAAAAGTTTGTTGATTCGTGAATATACAATGTTGCATTCAAAAGGAACATAAGGCAACTCTTTTTGTTCCACTCTATTGTTACATGAGTAAAAAATTATTAGCAATATAATACATCTAATTTTATATTTAGGGAAATCTACAGAAAAGTCCCAAACTTTTTGAAAAAATTTCAGTAAAGTCCTAAAAGTCTTTTTTTTAACAGTAAAGTCTCGTTATTTTGAAAAAAATCATATAATCTGTCATGTGTTGTTCAAATATAAAAAATGATTTTTTCGTTAATTTAGACAAAATGTTAAATAATCAGACATTTCTGTTCAAAAAAGTTTTTTAAGACTTTATTGAAACTTTTCTCAAAATTTTAGGATTTTTCTGTATATTTTCCTTCTATTTATTCACATGTGAATAAAACTAATAAGTCATGATGATGTCAAATCTATAGAAATTAAAATTTAACGACATCATCATGAAATAATGTTTAGTCAAATATAGACCTAACACATACATACACATGTATCATGTATGTATGTGTGTATACATCAATTCATCTTCAAGAACCTAACATAACCAATCTCTATCATTTCATGACTTTCATATATCAATTCACATAAAATATTTGCGAACACACTTGTTTAGTATTTATTTAAACCTTTAACTTCGTCACATGTCAAATAACAAATAACAATCGTGCAATAACCATCATTCAAAACCCCAATTTAACTTAATACCATAACCTTATCAGTACAACACAATTGATTCAAGATCATAGCTCTTCCATCTTGTTATAAGCCATCGAGGAATCATTATCAGTTCACTTCATTTCACTCAAAATTGTCCCTAGCACTCATATGATTGCTGTGAGGTGAAATACCCTACGACACGCCTCTTTTGTCTCTTTTAATCGATGATAGCTTTTGCTCTTTTGGAGCGCTTGGTTCTTGTAACAATGATGTAATTTGCTAATTCATCGTTTTTTACATACGACGACTTGATTCTTTTTGCATTTGTTTCTTTTTTTCTCAATTATATGATAAAGTATATGAAACATTGAAATTAGACACTAGTCTTGACTTGTATAATAGTTCTCGACTAATACATCATTTCTATCACATAGAGAAACCATCTTCAAGTTTTTCATACACATATCAACGCAAGCTTGTCTACCTGTAAATATCACACTACAAATATTGTCCCTAACAAATATCATGTGCTAAAAATGTCAAATGTATGAGATATTTATCGATATGGTTTAGGGATGATTACTAGGCTCTAGAAAATCTATTTTTTAATGAAGGATATATTTGAAAATATGCCTAAGAAGTTTCTTGTACCTGACCCCACAATGACAATGACAAAGATAGATTCCATCACCATACCCAACAGGATCATAATAACACCTTCCGATCCGACCGCTGGCAGTGTTTCATCATCCACCTGGATTCCTTACAATCTACACCGTTACCGACCCCCTTTGCGGTATCATCCGACGGCTCTAATTTCACGTGGACCCCCGGCTGTTGCAGCTGCAGCTCATGGTGTTGCTCCGCCGCTTCACCATCGTTTCCCTCTCTCGCCCGTTTCACACCTATCGGAACACCGAATAATCTCGGACTAATATCCTCCTCAGGTTCTGGTGATCGTCGACGACTACCGCTGCCATCACGGTCTTCTGATAAACGCTTTAGCGGCAAGAGATTTAGTGGCGTCACGGTGGTTGTTTCCGCCGTAGCCGTCTGTTGTTGTGAGGTATTGGTGTTGCCTTCCGATGGGTTATTGTAATTGGTGGCGTAATTTGACATCATCATGTATATTCTGTTGCATAGATTCTTCATCTGACTTAATTCTTTGTTGAGTTGAACGTTCTCTTTCCTCAACCTCTCGTTTTCATCAATAAGTTCCGCGTTAGTTCCACCAGAAGCTGTTGTTTCTCGAGATAAATAAGTTGTAGCGCCTCGAGATGAGTTCGACGACACTACTTGTTCTTCGCCTGAATTGCTGGGAGAGACGGTTACAGGATGAACAGGCGATAACGCCGCCACGGTCGTCACCGGAGTAGCAGCAACGGCTGGTGCTGGTGAAGCAGATGCGATCTTTCTACGTTGTATGTCGCATAACAGACGTTTCTCACCTCTACGAAAGCAATCGTTTGAGAATTCCCATCGATCTGGTACAAGCTTCCTGAATCCCTACGAGTATAATGGGAAAAAAATATATATATATATGCGTCCATAAAAAAACGTCTGATTGTGAATTAAATAAGCAGTTTACATTAAACTTACATAGGTGTTCAACTGGCGGACAAAGCTAGAGAAATTATTGTGCTTGAAGTATTTCGGTAGCAAATCCTTGGCAAATTCGGTAGGATTCCAAACGACAAAGCTAGATCCGTCTTCGTTCCAAGAGATCACGTCGTCGATCGTTTTATCATCCACAAGCTGGTAAGTTTTCGTCAGAAATGGCGTCGGAAGAGATCTGGATGTCGTATCTGCGGCCGTGGACTCTCCGCCGCTCCTCTCCACCGGCGGAGGAGCCATGTTCATCGAACAATCTTCACCATACCAAATCCAAAATACAACAAACAAACATCTAAATTTCAACAAAAAACAACTCGAACATAAAAAAAAATCTAAAAAAAAATGATCAACGAACATACCGATTAAGAGACGCGTATGTCAGTGTACGAATATCAATCTATCTGATCGGAGAAGACAGAGATCGGCAGAATTAGGGCGTTATGTTTGACGATTCTAGAATGTTCGTATGGAAGAAATAGGAAGACGACCGAGAAAGGGGTAGAAAGTTGAAGAAAATAAAAGAGAAAAAGTATTATTACATTGAATGAAGAAAGAGAAAAGTGCGTGTGGGACAGAGGTAAAAGAAAGCACGAGAAGTTACGTCAATAGAATTCGTTTTCGAGAAGTTTCTTTTGCTTCATTGGATCTATATACGTGTCAATTGATAACAGGTTGCCATGATTTTACTTTCCTCTAGAGATTTGACCTAATAAATTACTTAAAGCAAACCCCTCTCTACCCATCCGTTTTGCTTTGAGATGTTATATATTTCAAACTGAGTTTTTAATAAATAAATATATCCTTTACATAAATAATTTTAAGAGAGGGGATCTTGGTAAAATCTAAGACCGTTTTGCTTTGAGATGTTATATATTTCAAACTGAATTCGTAACAGATGAATATATCCTGTTCATAAATAATTTTAAGAGAGGAGATCTTGATAAAATCTAAGAAATAGTACATATGATTTTAAGGTATCATGTCGAAAATTATATTATATTGAAAAAAAATCAAAAACATTATATTATGTTGAAAATTTTTATATTGGTTTCAAATTTATAAATCACATAGATCTGAAAATAATATGCAGATAAAGTGTTTGATTAAATGCCTCAATGAGATTTGTAAGTTTTTTAAGTTGTGAATAAATGTTTAAAATTTTATATTAAACTGTAAATTTGTGTCTGAAGTGTGTATTATACTGTGAATTTTGATTTTTCTGATGTATTAAGATGTGAATTTTAGTGTTTGAAATATTGAATTAAGCATTGAATTAGTGTATGAAAAGTTTTATTAAACTGTGAATTATGATTTTTTTATCCACATATGATTTTTATACATGTAAATGAGTTGTGAATTTAGTATATTAAGCTGTAAATTTTATTTACAGCTTAATATAATAAATTCACTTTTTAATACACAAAAATACTACATATGAACGAACGTATAAATATAAATTTTAAGTTGAAAGTTGTGAATATATATATATATATATATATATATATATATATATATAT